TTATTACTTGCTGAACAGTATGTCATGTTTGGCTGCAGCCATGTGATTGTGGAATGAAAGAGCCTGTTGTGGTGCATGTTGGAGGAGGATGGGCGAACTGATCATTGCAAGCCTTTGTACAACTTGGTCGTTCTTAGCCATAGTGTTTGTTTAAAGTAGATTGCTCCTTCTTATAAATTAGGCTTTTTCTTGTCTAGAACAGATGTGAAACCCCTGAAATATTATTTATTTTAAGGTTCCTCCTCAGCCTGCCAATAAAATTGCCTGCACACTTGGTTAGTGTGCTGTGTATGCAGCAAAAGCAACATCTCAAAACTTTCACAAATGTTTAAGGTTTCAAAAGATTTCAGATGGCTGAGCAGGTTTGAGCTGGGCTTTTCTGCAGCTAGGCAGAGCTTGAAATTTCAGCACCTGCAAGCATCAGTGCTGGACTTAACACCTCCTCAAGATTGCAGATGCTCTGTAGGCTGGCTCACTGCAATAGCTTGTCCATCTGTCCTCTGTAAATAATGTAAATAACAAGCTCTGCTCCATTGTCTGGCTGTGTAGATGCTGCATAGTGTGTTAACCATCTGCGTGTCACTGCAACTCATATAGAGGGGATCTGTTAGAGAGCGTATTGAGGCAAGTATATAGATGGCAGTAATGGAGCATTGCTATATTCTCTGCTAGAGGGATGGCTCAGTGACATTCAGTCCCTGGCACTGAGGAGCTAGAGACTGTAGTTTTCGCAGAACTTCCGAAACCAAAGGCTGAAACAAGAGGGCTGCTGATGTTAATTACTGGGTGTTGTATGAGACTTAGGGAATACTTACAGGGGCTGAGAGTCCGCTTCTCAGTGGTTGAAGAATTTAAGCTGTTCCTACCTTGTCCTAGGTAAATGCCTTTTGATTTTATGCTCTAGGAAGGTTATGTGTGATTTTTTTTTTCCCCTTTTTCTTCCCCTCCTACACAGCACAGGAGCTGACAGAGGTCTGGGAAGGGAATTCCTACATATTGATTTTCTACAGAAATGTTCACCCACTCCCTCCTTCACTTCTCTTCAAATGTTTGCCTGCTGTAGCTGTTCCCTAGCTTGTGCTTGAGAAAGTTTAAGGCCATGGCTCCCAGATTTCCCTCATGTGATCTACCAGGTTTTTGCCAGATACATGTCGTTAGGAGTATCAAGATTCGCTTTTTCTGTCAGGGCCCAGACAGTTATTTTCAGGAATTTTAGAGAGTTCTTATCTCCATCAGTTGTTTTCTAATGGCCTAGTATACATCTCTTTAAATATCTGAGAAACATGCTCCAAAAGTCTTCCCATGGAAGATCTTAAAAGGACACAGGTAAGAAGGCAGAGTGGGGAAGGACATGAAACACAAGGTGTGAAGACGAAGAAGCTCTGGAATTTTGTAGCCTAAACCACCTTGTGAGAGTTGAAAGGATCACTGAACAAACTAAGAGATCAAGCGAACAGGATCACTAAACAAACTCAACGGGCTTCTGGTGTGTCAGTGTTTCCAGATGAGAAGCTGTCATTAGCCCCTGATGTAGCTGTCAGTACTAAAGGTAACTTGGCAAATGACCTTTTGCCAAGCTGGTTCTTGTGCAATTTCAGATGTAGCCATTAAAGGTGGTTCTGTGCTTTTATATGCATTAGAAAGCTAGTGTTAATTTCCTGGTCAAAATCTCCCCTGGGTATTTTTATTTGCCATTTACATTCCTTCTGGGGATTGGATTCGGGTCCTTTGCTTCCTGTCCTGTTCCTGTTCAGATGTTAATCAGCTGTTGCGTTCTATTCCAGTTACATGTTAGTGACGTTAGTGTTTCTTGGGCAATGCTGATCTGTCCTGGCTTTTATAAAACAGGGAAGCTAAGCTACTCTTAACGCAGCAAAAAGAATAGATAATAAAATGCATACTTAAGGATATGGAGTGCAACTGAATTAGGGGGACTGGGATCTTTGTATTATGGAAGGAGGGAGTGGGACTGTAAGAAAAGTGTGATTCTGATTACTTTTAAGAGACTTCCGTAGGGTGTGATTGGTATGACAGACACATGATATGTCCGGTGGTATTTACATTCAACAAGAACTATGTAGGGCTGTAGAGTCTAGGGATTTCATTTTCTTTGGAAATATGTTAGGTGTTAAGTAGGGCTTGTTACATGGACTGTTGTTCAACAGCTAGCCTGATCCCTTTTTCTTGATAGCTCTTGAAATTGTTCCCATGCAGGGAACAGAGGTTTCTGCCTAACAGTCAAGGTTAATTGGTATGGAAAAGCAGGAATGAGCAATAATCCTCCTGAAACTCGATTTTAATCCAAGAGTCACTATAATGCTATTACTCAGATCTGAATCGTGAGCATTAACGTAGAAGCAGAACTGAGATGCAAGTTCCTGCCCTAGGAGGCGTCATCCTTTTATTTTAAAATGAGCTTCAAAACAGCCAGCAGCAGAATGGATCTGAACATAGTTTTAATTGAGATGCCTTCTCTGAATGAAAAGATCTCGCTCATTAAATGTTAAAGTGTCCTTTAATAACCTTGCAGTCCTTTTCCATTGTACTCAGCACCAGCAGTCTACAGGTGCTGCTTTTAACTTCACACAGCTTGTTTGTCTGTCCTGGACAAGACCTCTTGATGCAGTTATTGAATCATCCATCTTGCTCATTAGTTGTCTTGATCAGGCTTACTGCAGCAGCTTGTCACATAGTCTGGCTTGAGACACATGGAGGCTAAGGTTGCCTCTATCCGTAAGCACAGGAAGACAACTGGACAAATCTCTCTTGCTTTTGCTTCTCATGATGCCAGTGAACAGACACTGTTACCTCCTAAACCAGGATGTGCCAATGAGCTGTATTGGATGTGCATTTGGAGTATAGGTTGGCCCACACAGAGTGAAAATTCTGTGTTAGCTGTGGTGATCAGATATATGGCACAGGACAGTAACAGCATTTTTTACATGTGGGTATTGCATTTGGAGTTTTTTGGGGTACACTGATTCTGTGATAGCCAGTGAATGTTTCTGTAGTGTTGCATTAGAAACAAATGTGACTGTGACTGTGCTATGGAATGTATTTTCTCTGTCACACAAGTTTATCTTCCTGAATTAAAAGCAAGGTTGAAGAAATGCTGCTTTTAAGAGGAAAAGGCTGGAAAGATGACACTGCCTGAAATAAGAAACATTGTCTGTGACATAATCACCTGTTTTCTGTTGAGGAAGGGAGACTGCTGCCCTGAACACTGGTAAGCAGGCTGTTTTATAAGGTCAGAAAAGGCAACACAAGAGAAGATGATGATGAGGAAAACCCTGCAAGTCCTCTGCTTCTTTGCATGGAATGTTCAACTACTGCAACAGCAAGCAGGCAGGAACTGTGTGCATCCTAGAACCAAAGCTATGTATTAGCTACCTCAGCCCTCAAGGGACTTGCCAAGTTTCAGGAAGGCAGTAGGTGCCTACAAATATTGTTTGGGTTTTTTGGTTTGGTTTGGGTTTTGGTTTTGGTTTTTGTTTTTTTGTGCTTTCCCTTTTTGTCCAAAGGGTTCCTTTTTGGACCATTTTTTGTATGCTATGGACCTCTTCCTTGTTACTGGAGGCAAAGTGATGCTAACAGGTAGTGTTGTGGTTTTGCATGCATGCCAAGTGGCTGTTAGTTCTGTGGGCCCTGTACAGAATAGTCTTAAGCAATTCTGTGCTAGATCACATCTGTTTCTGGTGTGTGGTAAAGGTTTTGCCTTTCTGAGATCACACAGAGAACATAGCTGCTCTGCAAGTGGATTTTACACTGAGGGAAGCTCTCTGGTAAAAACAGCTAGAGTCAAGCTTGTATACTGCCTGTGCAGCTGCACTCAGTCACTGTCGCTGCACACCCTCGCTGTGAAGAGGAAAGAGGTTGTGTGCGTTTTGTCTTTGTGAGAGGGTGGAGGAATCATCAGCTTTTTGCATTAACAAAGCAAATTGTTAGGTTTCCACTGCAGTCTTCTGACTGTTTGTGTGTTCATGTCTGTTTGCCTGGAAGATGTGACTATTGCTGATGCTGATCAGTGTGAGCCCAAGCCTTGTAGCCCTCAATGAGCCATTCCAGTGAAGCTGTAACTTTGGTCAGTTAGCTTAGAATTCAGTGAGCTTAGAAATGAGACTACAGTGGGTAGTAGCTAGAAGACAGTAGAATTGTAGCTACTGCAGACGATAGCCTGCTAGGAAGAAGACTGTGAATGTTAAGGAACAGAGATGGAAAGGGCAGATAAAAGGAACCAAGAGGTTAAGTTTTCTGTTCTATAAGAGTGCTAATTAGAATAGCTGAAGAGCTACTTCCTGCTGTAGCTCCAGGCTAAAGCTGAGCTTCTCTAGGGTAGTCAGAATGTGGACTTCACAAGCCTCTCTCTGAGGAGCTCGTTGTCAATAACGTGGTGAGCAGAATTAGTGCTGCCTTCTATTTCTGGGTATTACCTGTATCTGTTTCTGCCTTGGAGCACAAGGTCCGTCTATTCTGCAGAGAGTATCTGCTCCTCTCTGAATGGAGGTGTGATGAATTGAGCCATCTTGGGATTCTCTCTGTGGTAGCAAAGGATACTCAGGTATTGTAGGCAAGGAGGGCTTAACTGTGCTTTTCAGCGCAGGGAAGTCTGCAGAACAAAATTAGGTTGGTGTGGCAGGGTGGCTGGAGCAGGATGACAGAGGCTGGATTCCTGGTGTTGGACAAGAATGCAGGTGGGGAAGCAGTGACCCCTGGAGCCATCTAGAAAAAACAGCTGCCTTTCAGAGGTCAGTTACTGGTCTGCACAGGCATCCCGCTCAGTGGAGAGATGGTTAAAAGACCTTCCTTTTCTGGGACACAGTGAAGGCAAGGGGCTTATTTCACTGGAGAGTCCTGGCATTAGATAGTAGCCTGATGCTGCAGCAGTTTGCTGCCGACTCCTGCCCTGGCACCTGGCTGTGAGTTGCTCTGCGCATGCCTGTCTGTTTCCATGTGTTGTGCTGATAGGTGACTGACACCAAGTTGCCTTTCTCGTGTTTCAGGAGCTGTTGGCCAGATGCTGCTGGGTGCTGACAGGGGAGAGCTGATTCGGAGACAAGTGGCCAGAAATGTTTGGACACATCGTCACTTTGGATCTGTAAGTCCTTGTTTGAGGGAAAGTTGCCTGGAGGCACTGTGAGTATTTAAGTGTCTCTGGAAATTCTCAGATCATGAGGGCAGGTTTCAAATCCCGGTATCTTTTCCAGGTAGGTGGGGTGAGATGGCAGGTAGCATAGTTGCTGGCTCTGGGGTAGGAAGCAGGACAGTCCTCTTTGAGCCTGAGGATCTGTGTGGCAAGAGACAGGGAGACCTTTGGCATGTTCGTTCTTACACCTCTGTAGTGGAAACATGCATGGACCCATGGATACAGCTGTTCCTGGAAGCCTGTGCTTGTCTGCCAGCCCATGTGGCTGGTGGTTTTGCCTTGATGATGAACGAGCTCCTGCTGGGAGTTGGTGGAAAAGCAGATTCAAACTGTGCTGGCCTGGTTCCTTCCTGGAGGTGCACGTTCTCCCTCTCTCTTTCTTTCTCCCCCTGTACTTTACAGTTTGCCCCACAGAGCAGTTATGCTGTAGTGAAGCTGTTTTTTTCCTGTGCTAGTCAAGACCTGACCATAGCATTGTAGCAATGAAAGGGACCAGACAGCTTGTTGGGGCAGGGCCAGTACTAGGGCACCTCTTCAGTTTGTTTTGGCAAATCTTGAGTTTGCGTGGTCCTGGTTGCCTGTCTGTGCCATTCACCTTCAATCTGGCTCTCCCAGTGTATGTACAACTGCTCCACACGCTGTGCTCCTGTCCTGCCTTGCAGGACTTGGTGCCATTGACAGGGAAAAACCAGCACAGCAGCAGAAGTGCATCAGGGAAGGGAAGGCTCCAATGCAGTCTCTCTCGTGCCAGTGGCAGAGTGATGGCCACTGAGCTATGCTTTTACAGCTGGCTCCCAGATCACCCCAATTCTCTTCTTGTAGTGATGGGTACCCTGGGCTTTGAACAGAGAGGCAGGTTGTTTCTGAACTTGTGTTGTATCCCTGGTTGGCTGGACACTATTTTACAGAAGTCTGTTAGCAGCAAAGTAGAGCATGGCATGCTGCTTGCTGGAAGTCAGAGAGTAGCTTGCCTTCCTCTCTCATGGAGGTGTGGGTTATCACAGCTGTAGGCATAAGGACGTAATGTTTTGGGTCAAACAAGAGTCTGATAATTGCTGGCTCATTTGTAGGTGAGAAGCACTGATTTAAAAGGACAAGTGAGGTAATTGTTAGCATTACCAAGCTTCTGTACTAAAGGCTTCACAGTTAGCATCCCTCTGTAGTAGCAGGGAAGATTAGCTGGGAGAGTCCCATTTCACAGGAGGTTTGTTTAGTCCTTCCTGGAACCAAGGTTCCCTTGAGGCTGTTGCTTCATGAATTTTGAGTTTGTGTGGTCCCAGTTGCCTGAGTGCTTTGGACATGTCCTTGCCAGGTGCCTTTCCAGCTCTTGCTGGGCTATGTGGCCCACCTATCCTAAGTAATTTCATTTACTTTCAGAAGATCTGATGTGGGTTGGGGCAGGTATGAGGAGTGAGATGACCGTTGGATCGTTGTTGGTTATAAATGTTCCCTATTCCTTATATATTTATGGGGTGAGATTTCAAGCTGCCTGTTTTGATGGATGCTAAGCTATTTGTTTCTCTTCTTCAGGGCATCTTGAGTGAGTGTTCCTGCTTCATGAGGCTTCGAATTTGAGCCCAGGCTGGTAAGTGCTGAGGTCTTTGTGGGTTAACGAAATAATTGTGATTTCAGCTTGGAATATCTCCATGCACATCTCCTGTCCTTAGCCTGGCAGGCGTTGACAGAAGTGTCCCCTAGATCACCTGTTTGATGGTGGGGTGTTGACAAACATGCTTCTGGTCAGGATTTCAGCATTCCTCTTTCAAGAAGAGAAATGTCTTCCCAGCAAGCCAGACCCATCTGTTTTGCTTGGGGATGCAATGGAAAGTGCATTTGGTATGCTGGACGTGATTTTTCTAAAGTATTAGAGTTCTCTTCACCTACTTGAGTCTTTTTAGGAGAAGGGACCTTGAGGGAATGACTGCAGCAAGGGGGACTTTCTAGCATTCTGATGGTGGAGATTTACAAGTTAGTCCTAGGAAGTTGCTCCTGTCTGTGGAAAGGTGTGAGAAACTTTTGTGAGCCTGTGTTTTTAGCAGAGTGGAAGACAACTTGCAAATGTTCCTGTGAAGTGTAAAGCCTGCTGTGGCTTGGAGCCACTCTGTGCTTGGTGCATACACCTCACACTAGCCAGTCCTCCCAGGGGACTCATTCTAAGTGTCAAGAAGATGCAGCTAGGCAAGAGTGGTTAAGAATTGGAGAGAATTCTTGGGGCTCCATTTAGACACTTAACTTCTAAAACTCCACTGGCCAAAACGCAAAGCAAGTGAAGTCTGCTAGGTTGCTGACTCAGTGGTATACATTGACTGCCTTGAAGGTGAATGGGAGTCAAATGGCCCTGCCTGTAGAAGAGAGGAGAGGGTGATCTGAGTTGAGGCAGGTCCTGCACTTTGAAGTGCTGCAGGTCAGGCACTGCATATGTTGTCATCCGGGAAAGTCTGGTATCGGGCTCTGCAGGGACTGCTTGGCATCTCTGAGCTGTCTTGTGTCCAATAGGGTGGCTGAAATCCTGGCTGCTTGGGGGGAAGTCTTCCTGCCCACTGCTGCAGTCCCAAAGTGGAAAGGAAGGAGATTCTTCCATATGTACAAGATAGTTGCTTTCCTTCTACCCCGTTTTTTGCTCTTGTACTACTACTACTCCTGCAGCAGGAAGAATCCTGCCCAGCACAGCTGGGGTAAAGGGCTTAATCTGGTCTTTCTGCTAGTGGTACTGCTACATGTTGCAAAATCTGGCCTTAGGTATCAGTGTCAATGGCATTTCCCCCTAATTTGATGCCACCTGTGGCTTGGGGGTGGTCTTTGTCTTTTCTGACAGAAGTGAGCAGTTGTAATGGTATGGTATCTCCTCCTGACAAGCCTTCTGTGGTCTTCTCCATTGGTGTTCCAGTGTAAGCCAAGAACTTCTGGGTTTGGGCTCTTTAATGGCTGGAGTCTCCTCCCACATAGTCCCTGCTGACAATGACAGCACATGATCAATAACTCCTGCTCTAGCTGTCACTGCTGCCTGTAAGGCTTGCACTTTCCATATTGGAAAAGGCCTTTCCTAAAGAGCCTAATCAATATGCTGCTGTGAGGTCTGTTCTCATTTGCTATATATAATCTGGACACACACAAACTACGTGAGTGAGCACGTATAGAGGGGGGGAGAGGATGTGCCAGCTCTCTGCTCTCACTGGCTGGGAGAAGGACACAGCTACCTCTTATTTTGCTCCCTCTTCTGCAGCTGCCGCTCAAGGCTTGTGGCCGCATCCTTTCCTTGCTCTATTAACACTCTGCATGGGGACCTGCTCTGGGACTCCAGGGGAGCTGAATTCCTGCTGGGTTACTTCTAGGGTTCGATGGAGCGCCTGTGACTCTCTCTTCTGTGCACTTTCTGCTGTTGGTAGGTAACCCGCTTTTGGAACCACGCAGGTGGGAGGATGTCGAGCACAGCTCCATCAAAGAAGCCTTACCGCAAGGCACCCCCGCAGCATCGTGAGATCCGCCATGAGGTACCCATCATTCGTGATGACCAGGATGGAGTGATCTTGGCCGAGCAGAGTCAGGTAACGGCTTGCCGGGTGGCAAAGGGCTTAACACCATTGCACCAGCAAACAGGGTTTAGTTACACTGAGGCAGGCCAGCTCAAGCAGGCAGAGGGGTTTGAGGTTTGCAACCTGAACTTCTCCTCATCGTGGTCCCTGGAGTCCAGCAGTGAGAAGGAAGTGACAGGGTGCAGAGCAGAGTTGAACATCAAGAGCCAGACTGTCTCACCAGCACTTCCATGTGGTGGGAAGATGGGGCAGCGAAGTGGGAAGCGGTGCCCAAACCGCAGTTGTGGGCACCTCAGCAAATTTGTGAGCCGTAGCATGGAGACAGTTGTGGTGCCTGGAGATGAAAGACACCATCCCGCTTGCTCTTTCAAGAGCAGAAGCCTGGAACGCTCGCTGATGTTTAAAGAGCCTCCTGAAGTCCTGACACCAAGGAAGTTTCGGGTCTCCTCTACACCCCTGCCTCTCAAAGGGATCCTGAAGCAGACCAACATGACAGGCCCACGCCATGAGAGCTTACGGAAGTCCCACTCAGTAGAGACGCTTTGCCGTGGCTCACGAAAGTACGGTGATCCTCAGCTCTGCCTCAGCCATAGGGAGAAGTGCTCACTGGAGCACAGCAGCAGCAGTGCCACTGCCTCTGTCAAGCGCAGGGAGAAGATCACAGAGGAAAAACTGCAGTTCTCCAAATTCTTGGATGAGATTACCCAGCGGGTGCTGAGTCCCATCCGCTTGCGCTCGCTGGGAGAGACCAGGGGAGCAGAACAAGACCAGAACTCTCCCCTTTGCCCCAGAAGCTCTCTGCCAGAAGGCCAAGGGGAAGGTCACCTGCAAGGGGTAAAAACCAAGCGTGCAACTGAAAGATCCCCCTGCCCAAGCAGAAGAAAAGCAGAAAAGAAATGTGAGGGGCTGGGAAAGGCTTCGTGCCAGAGAAAGTGTGCTGAGGAGGCTAAGAGAGCTTCCAGACTAAGAAAGAAACCCATCCTTGGGAGGAAGGACAGTAAGGAAAAACTCGTTTCCTTGGAAAGAAGGGTAGTAGATCTGTGTCAGTATGAGCTGCAGCAGCTGACAGACCTGGGGCTGGCAGGGACATCCTCTGGGCAGCAGCACTCACTGTCTTCATGGAAAAGCAGTGCAGAGGACAGGAGGGATGAAAGCAGTCCCTGTTCACGGCTATTACAGCCACACCATCTGTGTGCTAAACTTGGGCAGAAGCGTGCAGTGGAGCCGAACTACCCAGAGAAGGGATCCTTCTCCACTCCAACAGGCTGGAGTCGGGAGGAGGGGCCTAGCCCATCTAGATCCTCCCCTTCCTTCAGCCTGGCACTAAACAAGGTAGGTGCCAGGGCCACTGGCTCACAGACAGGGGTCTCACAAAGGCCAAAGCCCCCACCTGGCTCTCATCTAGTCTGTAATGCCAGTGGGGAGAGTGAGAGCAGGCCCCCAGACCTCATGTTGTGGGTACTTAATCACCAGAAGCTCCTCTCTTGTGGGTGCCACTCATGGCTGTGCTCCAGGTTGGGTATATCTTCCTGGGAGGAACCAGCTTCCCTTTGGCCCCAGGAGTTAGGAAGGCAGGAGCTGGTGCTGTTGTCCGCACTGCAGACTTCCCAGGTGTGTGCAGGTTGGAGGTCCTCCAGGCTGCAAGGCAGCAGGTGTCTGCAGGAGGTGGGCACCTCTGTTGTCAGGAGGTGTTGGGATGCTCCCAGTGCTCTGTGTGTGCCCTATGCCTGGCTGTCTTGGGGTAGTGGATCTTTGTATGATGGCCATTTCAGTTCTTTGTAAGCCTTATCCTCTTTTCTCCAGCCTTCTTTGGGGCCATCACCTCATTTTAATAGGAATCACATTATCCCCTTTGCCTGGTCACTAGCATCTGCTCTGTGTGTATTTGTGGGGGTAGGGGAGGCAGTTGCTAGATAATTCTGCATGAATTAACCAATTGCCATGTGGGGTCAGGATGTAAGAAAAGAATGGATTGATGCTTTGCCTTTAGGGACAGGTGGATGGATGTATGCAGGTGGTAAGGACCATTCTTTTAAAGTGTGAGTTGATGAAGGAAGCAGGCCCATGATATCTTAGGGCCATGACTGGGGTGGTTTGCCTTCTGTAATATTGCTAGCAGCTCAACAACCTCATCCACAACTGTCTGTGGCATGGCCTCTCAGCCCAGAGCTGGCTGTGACACTTAGTGGACAGTCTAAAGTCTGGCAGCACTGTGGGTTTGTGCAGTGCTGTTGGTACCAAGCACCAAATATAATCCATGGGCAGCTTGGACTTTGAGAGTGGTCACAGTCTTGGGCTTTCACAGGAAACACTGTTGCTTCTAGTGCTAATTAGATCTCTCCCAGTTCTGCTGGCAGGCAGCAGCCATCTCATGGGTTAATGCAGAGAGTGCAAAGGAAATGAGAATAGCTGAGCCATGTGCTCTTGTCACTGTGCTGTGTCTCCTTGTTCTGCAGGTCCCTGCTCCAGCCATCTCTGGGGATCTTGCCCAGCACATTAATTTCTTTCACAGGCTTTTCTGACCTTTGGTGTTTCTTCTGCTATCCCAGAATAGTTACAGTGGCTGGTTTCAGATCTGCAAAAAGAAATCCTTTTCACAGCACAATTTGGGTGGTGTAAATGGTAAACACATTTTTCAGCTGCCAAATGATTCTCTTTCATTCTTTTTGTGGGGCTTGAAGGATGTTGTCATTGCTGTGGTGACAATTTAATCCTCAGTGTATGCTGGCCTGTGAGATTCCTGCTCCCCACTAACTGTGGATGTGGAGGAAGCTGAAACACCAGCTAAGGTAACGATGTTACAAGAGATGCTGAGATTGCAGCATGGGAGAGTAAAGTTACCTAACTTGTGTGGTGGCTTCTAGTATAGCTCTTCTACCCTGAACCAGAATACACAGTCTGTCTTACAGACAGCTGAGCAGTGTGTAGAGATCCTAGCAGCTCAGAGCTGTCAGAGCAGGTGAGGAAGTCACAGTTAGGGTCTAGCAACCAAGACTCTACCCTGTAGGACAGTGTGAGAGACTAACTCCTCCTCTGAAAGAATCTCACAGCTGTTTTCTTCCCTGTGCAGGAACCCTTGACGGATACAGAAAGGATGAAGTAAGTGTCCTGCTCCCCCTTTATGCCCGTCATACTGCAACTGTGTGGGTGCTGATTCCTCACATCCTGCCTGTGCCACTCGCACAGCGAAGCTGACTGGCCCTGCAGGCTGCTCTCAGATCTTCAGTCTTCTTGGGGCCACGTGGGCAGAGCTTTAGTCTGTACCTTGCCAACCTCTACCTTGCATGTCTCTCCCCCTGGAGGGGGAGGGAACATAGACCCCCAGTGCAGGTGCAGGCAGAGGAGTTGGTGGGTGTGAAAGAAAGTAGGAGATGAAGCCTTTAATACAGGTGGAGAGAGGAGTGCCTTTTTTAACTCTTCTTGTTGTTGCCATTGTTTTGGTGTAACCCACCAGAAGCAGTATGCAGAGGCCTGCTGCTGACTGAGGGTGAGAGCTGAGCCCTTTGCTGGTGGTGGTATGGGGCACAGCTGCTAGCACTGAGCTCCAAGCCATAGTGAGGAGAAAGCTTGCACTGCCAGAGAGAAGCTGTGCTTCTGAGTTTCTCTGAGCAACTGAGCACAAAGGAATGAAAAACAACAGGAAATCCTTCTGAGCACCAGGCATGTCCTGGCTGGGGAGGATTGGAGCAGTTTGTGTTGGAATGGGGCTGATTGGCAGCTGCGATCATGTCTATAAATGTACCCCACCACTTCTGCTTCTGGACTTAAGGCTGTATGGAGTCCTCTTTCCACCAGGTGTTAAAGGTGTTGAGGGCTTTTGAACAGTTTCAGGGGAGAAGATGATTTTGTTCTTTTTGCCTTCAACTCTTCTAACTTGGACTGGGATAAATTATTGAGTGGGTTTCATTCACCAGTGAGGGACACTGGAGCTGCACAGCTCATCTGGCTAGTGGGCTTTATCCAAGCACTGTAACCTGAGAGGGAGCTGGGAACCATGCTTGGCCAGCTGGCATGTGCTTCTTTGCCCCTGCTCCAAGAGAGTTCGAGTTTCCCTCTCCTGACAGAGATGCATCTCTCGCTGTGTGTGCTGGAGTCTCCTGCCAGTTCAGTTCCCAACTTCCTGGGGCCCCTGTGGGAGGTCTTGGGCCCTGGGGTGGGGATGCTGGTGTGGAGTACCCCTTGTGCACTCAGTGGTACTTTGTTCTTATGTGCCCCAGGCTACTGCAGCATGAGAATGAGGAACTGCGCCGAAGGCTGACATATGTGACTAACAAAATGGAGGCGATGGAGAGGGAGCTGGAGTCAGGTCAGGACTACCTGGAGATGGAGCTGGGCCAGAACCGTGAGGAGCTGGAAAAATTCAAGGACAAATTCCGTAGGTATGAAAAAGAAAAGAGAGGAGCAGGGTTAGAGAGGTCCCTCCCACCAAGGACTCCCTCAGCTGGTGTGAGGAGGCTGTGCCCTGTTGTGTAAATCAAAGGCATGCTGCATCCTCAGAAAGGTGCACCCCTAGACTGTAGGGGAGTTAAAGGCTCTGCAGCCATTACTTCCTCCAGGGTACAGCGTAGGAATGCTGCTAGCACAAGGGGCTGACAACAATAGGGAGTTCTTAATCTATTGGATGTAAGGCAGGATCCAGCTTGGATGGTTACCCCACATATGCAAAAGGAGCCACTGATGGCTGCAAGAAAATACATCACCACTTTCTCTGAGAAGTACCTCAGTTAATCAGTGTCAGTCACTGGTCACATGCTTATAGATGACATAGCTCAGAGGAGTCCTCCAAAGTCATTTACACCCTCCAGTGCAAGATTCTTTCACCCAGCCAACCTCATCTTGCCTCCAGTAACTTGGGGTCTGAAGGCCATTATGTGGCAGAGATAAGGCATAGTTAATATGCCTAGTTGTCTTAGTACCAGTCTTTCTGCAGTTGTGGAGTTGGTGGTTTGCTTGGCAGCTATGAAGGAGACTTTAGTAGGTGCCCAAGATCCATTCCCATGTATACAATCTTGTTTCTGTAGGTTGCAGAACAGCTACACTGCTTCCCAGAGAACCAACCAAGACCTGGAGGAGAAGCTGCATGCCCTGGTAAGTGCCCTATTAAGTCACTACAGAGAGAAGGTGAAAGAGACCTATGTATTAGAAGCAGTTGAGAGAAGGGGCCCTGGCTTTACCCAGCAGATGTGGCAGTGGGTGAGGGGTGAGATTCTGGCCACAACCGTCTACTCCCTGTTCCGGCTGGTGTCATGAACTGTTTTCTTGATTTACCAAGCCCCTACTTGGTCATGCACGTGAGCTTTGGTTCCCCACAACATAATTGCATGGTATTCCGTCATGTTGCTTCAGTCCCTCTCAAAATGCCAGGGAAGTGTCAACCAGTCTTGGGGTGGTCATCCTGGGAGGATGGGGGCAGTCAGAGCAGAGCCAATGTGCTTGTATGTCTGTTGTGTGCATTCATAACACTCATGGCTGTTTCTTTTCTCTCCCTCCCCCTCTCTCTCTCTTTCTCCTCCCCATGCTGCCGCTGGCACACGCTGGGCACACTCACCTCTCAGGCCTCTCTCAGCCAAAGCTGGATTTTTGCAGTTGCGTCTTTTCGTTTGTGTGTTTTTTCTTTTTCCTCTTTACCTGTCTCAGCCTGTTGGTTTCATTGTCAGTCCCACATACACCATCCCAGATGGAGGGGCCCCAGCTCTCGTCCAGCCAAGGGCTCACCTGGTATCCAGCAGCTGCCCGCAGATGCAGCAGGTCCTAGCTTGCAGTGCTTCATCTTAAGAGTGTTTGACTCTGAGCCAGCTGGAGCATGGCGTGTTGGGAAGTGATGCCCATAAACTGTGGCACTGCACAAGATGTAGATGGCTGTGAGCCTCATTTGCTCCCTTTCCTTCCCCTTCTGGGCTGTAAGCAGGCAAGTCAAACAGCTGAGATGCTAGTTGCCTCCATGCAGCCCAGGATGAGATTTTTTGGTTCTAGAACTTGAATTTCTTGGGTTAATATTTATTGTGCTGGTGCCCGAAGAGACTGCATATGTGGGAAGCATTGTCCTCCCCTACCCTCTTGTGTATTGCTGTGCTGTACGCCTGATGCACAGCTGGGCCCTGGTGATCACAGCCTCAGAGCACCCTTGGGCAGTGTTGGAAGAACTTCTTGAGGAGGGGGTGGCTTCATTGTTCTGAGCTGTTGCACCTCTCTGCTGTTACATCTGGGTCTCTATTGGCCCTGTACCTGAACTGTTAGGGAGTCTAAAGAGGCAAGATTGCCTGCTTTAGGGAGGGCATTAACTGAGCTCCAGATGAAGCTACACGGGTCCTTTTTCTTACTAGAGCAAGGCTTAAATTCTTTCAAGGTGGTGTCCTCTCCCTGCCAAAAAAAACTTTTGTCCATTCGGCACTGACTGCTGGATCTTTATGGACAGTATTCTTGTTCTGTTGCCCCAGAGAAGACGGCTGGGTATCACAAGCTCAGAGGTCTTTGCTGCCAATGGCAGTATGGGATTGATTGCTCAAAACCACTAGCTTTCCACCAGGCACCATGCGAACCAGGGCAGAGAAGAAACATGGTTGTGCTACAAGAAAAGATACTGCGTCAAGGAGGTTCACACTCAACCTGTTGTCTCTGTAGCTAGCAGAGTGGCTGGCTCCATTTGGCCTTTGGAGTCCTTCCCTTGGTGAAGAGCCAGGCTGTCCCCCTTGTCTGTCTGTCTGGAAGTTTTTGTATCCCAACTGAACATGTCATTGTGCTATACTTGGGCTGAGGTGGGTGGTGAAGCCAGGTTCTTCTGTGCTGGGGAGATTTACACCTGGTGTTCTTGCATCCCAGATTAAAAAGGCAGAGATGGACCGCAAGACGCTGGACTGGGAGATTGTAGAGCTCACTAATAAATTGCTTGATGCCAAAACCACCATCAATAAGCTGGAGGAACTCAATGTAAGTGTCAGTCTGCAGACGGCTGTGGAAGTGTAAGAGGTGTTGGCTTTTCCTCTTGTTCCAAGTCATTAGTGTAAAGGAGCATTTGAATGACTTCAGCGTGTATGAAAGTGCAGGAGCTGTACACAACAGTAGGGACAGACAAGCAGAAAAGGGCCTGAGGGGTTGAGCAAGGAAGAACTGATCTTCAAGTTTGATGTATTTCCTCTTTTGAGCTTAGGGTTTGACCCGAGTCCAGGCTGTACCAACAGAGGGGTCATTTACTCAAGAGCTGGGAGGGAGCTGATGTCTTTTCTACACCATCAATATAGAAGTTCCTGGATGTGGTGCTTGTTTCTATTAACTGCCCTCTACTCTCTCAAGTCTGTCTGTCTGCAAGATGCCTGACATCAGGCAGTGTCTTCAGGCATAGCTGAACTCTGGGATGGGATAGCAAATCTTGTGGGACTTTTGGAGAATATTAAAATCCCCAGAGGGAGAGGGGTTTGATACACTGACAGGGTGTATGCCTGGAGCGAGGACTGGAGTTGAAAGGGACACCTTGGCTGAGTTGTAAGAAAATAGACAGGGGGGTGGAGAGGAGTGAATTGCAGGTACCCTCATGAGCAATTCATCATATGCCACCTCCTGCTTCTGTTCAAGCAGCACCTGATCAGGTGGTGCCTTTTCAGGTAAGAGATTGAGCCTGTCTGCCACTATTGCACACCTTGCCCTTTCTTGCAGGAACGCTATCGACAGGACTGTAACCTTGCAGTACAGCTGCTCAAGTGTAACAAGTCGCACTTCAGGAACCACAAGTTTGCTGATGTGAGTAGCAGTCCTGCTGAGGTGGGGAAGAAGGGCTCATGGTCTCCGTCTGCATCTTGCTTTCTCCAGCTTTCTCTGCAGGGCTGTTGGCTTCTCATCCTTCAGCCTCAGAGGTGTGTGGGGGGCTCCTGTTCCCACTCCCACTGAGAAGGCAGCACAGAGCCTCTGCCAGCTCCTCTTTCGCACCAGCTCCATTTCACAGCTCAGCCAGAAGCTGTTATAAAAAGCACAATAACCTTGAATTTGATAGCCTGCTGGGTGCCTGATGGGAGCTGGCAGGAGGACAGACCTCTCTCTTACCCTGCTCTGTCCTCTTCCCTTCCTCATCTGGCCACATGGAAGGGCCACGCTGCCTGATAAGGAGTCAAGCAGCAGTAGTCTGGCCCTGCTTCACTTCTTACTCTGAGGAGAAATGTGGGAGGCAGCATTTAGGGTGTCTTTTAGGCCTCCTGAATGGGAGAAGTTGGTACCAACTCATACTCCCCCTTGTGGGGTCTGTTCAGCTCATCCTGCCCTCAGGATGAGCAGAGATGGAGTTTAGGCCTTTCAGATTAGTAGCATCATTTCTTCGGTTGGAAGTATAATTCAGACCCTTATCCCAGCACTCTCTTCTCCATACCCCTAATCTCCATCCCTTCTTATGTTCCTCTCAGCAAAACCATGTGCTTGTCTTTTTTAACTTAGCAGGTGACCAATATGTCACCCTCCCCCATTGTGTCTCAAATTAGCACTCTTGAGGTCAGTGTATCAGTTACTGCTGGGGTAACCTTGACCTCTCTCCCAGCTGTCTCCCTTCCCTGGAGCTTTGAATTCTGCCCCCCAGAGCGCTGTGTCCCATGTGGCTGCCACTGGAGGGGGGTTGGTGCTGAGCAGCTGTGCAGACAGTCTGTCTCACAGCCAGCTGTTGTCATGCAGTGTGCCCTGTGTCCCCAGCTTTGGATGCAGTTTCCTTCTGGCTGTGATGGGACAGACCTTGCTGTGCCACTGAGTGGCTTGTGGAGCTCTGCTCTCCACTTCTTGCTGTGCATGGGTGTGGTGACCAAGGTGAGGGCAGCCTGGCAGCGCGATGGGGAGAGCAGTAGTGCCCATTTGTAGGACAAGGAGCAGTGTTTATCTCCTGTGGACACCTTGGTCCTGCAGCTTTGGTAATAAACCCCATGTTTGCCTCTCTGAAATGGAGAGAGTGAGTGGGATGAGGTGGTGGAGTTGGTAGGAACAAGGGAAGGCATCGATTCTGGTCTGCAGGCAGGCTGCCAAGGCAGCATGGCTGCAATTACTACATTTGGGAAGCACTGCAGATCCCAGCACTGGGGACAGTTGAGTCAGTTCAGTGCAACCAGCAGCTGATTTTCCACAGATCAATAGACCCCTTCCTAGCATGCGCTGGCTGGGCCTTATCTCTGTGCTCACAGGCATGGGGGACTTAGCCCGTGTGCCATCTTTTCTTGTTCTCTTCACAAAATGGGGCCTGTGAACCATGGCCTAGAAATGGCTGGTGTGACAGCTAGAGAACCTTGTTAGTCCCTCATGTGGCAAGTTTGCTTTGGAAACAGATACCTTTCTCAAGGCAAGGTAGGTGAATGTTAGGGTCAAGATAAGGAGTACAAAGTACACGTGAAGGTTGGTTGGAAAAGGCAGATTATTTGGAACTAAATGGCTTGCATGGCAGCCCCCTTCTAATGTCCTTTTCCTTCTCCCTAGCTTCCCTGTGAGCTGCAGGACATGGTCAATAAGCATTTGCACAGCACTCAGGAGTCTGCAGGCCCTGGTCAAGAGGCAACCCACACCTTGGCTCCATCTGATGTTGTGCCTACCTCAGTCATTGCCAGAGTCTTGGAGAAACCAGAATCTCTGGTTCTGAATTCAGCCAAGTCTAGCAGTGGCAGCTGTCCCATGGCTGAGGATGTCTTTGTGCATGTGGACATGAGTGGAGCCCCTCCTGATGCCTGCAACAGCACAGGGCAGATGGGAAAGGAGGGAGGAGATGCGGGGAAACAGCAGAATGGTGGCTGCAAGCCACAGAGCAGCGTGGAAAGCGTCCCAGAGGAGGTGCCTGCCTTTGAGAAGTTAAGTCCATACCCTACACCCTCACCTCCCCATCCTATGTACCCTGGGCGCAAAGTGATTGAGTTCTCTGAAGACAAGGTAAGGATCCCAAAGAACAGCCCCCTGCCCAACTGTACTTATGCTACGCGCCAGGCTATCTCCCTCAGCCTGGTGCAGAGCGAAGATGAGAGCTGCGACAGGCACCGGACGCTCCCCAACAGCCCTGCTTCAGAAGGGTGCCGTTCGGCCTCCAGCTGTTCCTGTCAGCAGTCCCCCAAAGCAGCCAGGGCTCACGGCTCTTCCCAGAGCAGCCCATTCAGCAGCCCTCCCCAAATTCCGAGCGCCTTCGCCAGCTCTGCCAGCTCCGAGGAGGACCTGCTGGCCAACTGGCAGCGTATGTTTGTGGACAAGGCACCCCCTACCTCAGAGCGGGTGCTGATGAACCGCACAGCTTTCAGCCGTGACACAGCCCCTGAGCTCCAGAAGAGGTTCAGCCGTTCCATGCAGGAGCTGGGTAGGGCAGCCTCAGCTTACTCGGATGGTGAGGAGTCCGCGCAGAGCTGCAGCTGGACCGTGAGCCGGGACTCGAGTGTGGACACAGATAGCACTGAGTCCAGAGCCCGCAGGAGCCATTTCTCTTCAGACTATGGTACAGATTTCTCCCAGGATGAAGCCCAGAAGCTGTTGCAGGAAAGTGGTGGAGGCACTGCTGAACCTGGAAGCCCCTCACCAGAGAAGCACAAGGACTATGTGGACCTTGGCTTGCCTGAGAGCCCAGCTGAGGAGAGAGAAGTATTGCTCCAGGGAAGCAAGGAGAGCAACCAAGGAGGTGCCCCAGAGGAAAGTGGAGAAGGCAGGGTCAAGCCTCCCTTCAGTCGGCCACACCGCAGCCCCAAGAGGATGGGTGTCCACCACTTACATCGCAAGGACAGCCTGACACAAGCCCAGGAGCAGGGCAACCTTCTCAGCTGAGGCAGGGCAAGAAGCAGCCACATGCTGCAGAGCTGTGGAATGCCTCCATCTGTCTGCCTTCTGAGGGAGAAACCTCCCTTAGTACCCTCCTCCCAGGGGGCCTCTACTCTGAAATTTTATATTTATTCTCTTCTGCTACCTGGAAGAGCTGGGGTCCCCCTTCCCTGGCACCTCAGATCCACAGTACTAGCACACACAGTGTGCAGAAGCACACACAAACACACTGCCCCAGCACACTCGCAGCTCTCTTCACAGCCTCACACTGGTGCCTGTACCAGAGCTCGTTCTTGGTACCCCTTGTCCTGGTGCCTGTGCCTCTTTATGCTTGCATCGTCTTTCCCCCTTCCCTCTCAGGTACCTGAGGCCCTGGGTGCTCTCATGCTGGTTGCCCACAGCTGCTCTGCTCTCTTTTTACTTGTGCCAACAGGGCAGAATGCCTGTGTGATGGTGTCTGATTCCCTGGGAGTCCCCAGGGGCTGTGAGTGGGGCAGTGGATGGCTATGTGCCCCTGGGGATGTGCTGGGATTACTGGTGTCTCATTTTCCTGCTGGGTTTTGTTTTCCCCAGCGGCCCTCCGGGTGGTTCTCCGGAATCTGCCTCTGCAGGTCCCCATCACTAGGCTCCTGTGTTGGGCTCAGCATCCAGCCCCCACGGAGGCAACGCATGGATGCTGGTGCTGTGGTGTGGGGCATGGGTGCTGTCTGCCGAGATGGTTCGGGCAGGCACTGCCTGCTAGGCACTGGGGTTTGTGTTTGAGTCTCTGCTCCCTCAACACCTCTTCCCCCGCTCTCTGCGCTGTTGTTTTGTTTGAACGGTGCTGATGCTTTGCTCTTGGGTGGGCTTCTTGCTTCTTTCCAAGCCTTTGGTTTTGGGGTGTATTGTTTTTTCTTTCTCCCCACCCTGCATAAACAGACACAGCCGTTGGCAGCCAGTCCAATGCCTGTGTTGAGGGTGTGTTGAGGAGGCTCAGCTCTCAGAGCTGCGCTTCCCTCTGATCCTGGCCTCCAGCCTGCAGAAACCCCTCCAGACGCAAGAACAAGGTCTCGCCCTGGGCAAGTAAGGCATGAAAGATGCTACTGGGCTTTTCTGGGCAGGCCTGGCAGGGTTGCGAGGGCAGCATGCTGAGGAGCTGCTCCCTGTAGACGCACTACCTCACGGCTCAGTAGCAGCCCTTTGCCAGGGTCTCCTCACAGGCCCCCCTTCTCCGGGGGGCTCCAGGCTGGCTCTGGCGCCTCTCCGGGGCCTCCCCTTCTGGGTGGGGCCTCTCTGCCTGTTTTTCCTAGCGTAGCGTGATATTATGTGACTTTTCTTCTCAGTCTTGTGTGCTTGGTGTCTTGGGGGGGGGAGGGCAGAGGTCTGTAGATGTAGGTATTTTTTTGAGGGCTTACGGAGCCCAGGGGTCCCATTTTAATTTTGTCCTGTGCCCTTGTCTGTCTGGTGTTTCTTGGCTCCTCCTGGGGTGCGAGGCAGAGAATAGCCTGGTTCCCTGTGCTGTGCCCCCCCCCCAATCCCCGCTGGCTGTCTTCAGCCTGCTGTCTGGTTTTTGAGTTGGGTTTGTGTTGTCCTCCCACCCTGCTCAATGAGGGCTCTTCACTGGGCCGTAGGAGAGCAGCCCTCTGTCCAGGAGGGAGCTCCCGTTCACATGCTTACAGCAAGATGTGCAGCCAAGAGCTGCCTGGGGGCCCTGCTCCCCTCCCCGAAACCCTGTCTCTGCAAAAGGCCTGCAGCTTGCAGCTGGGGCCAGCCAGGGCTTCAGCTCGAGCCTGGAGGCTCCAGAGCCTCTGAAAGTGAGCTGCAGGCCTCTCTGGCGGCTGTGTAGGTTGCTTTATGTATCCTGCCTAGAGCTGCTGCCTACACACTAGCCTTGTTTCCCACCTGGAACAGTTGTGGAGCTGGATGCCACCCTCTGGTGGGGAGGTGGGACTCAGTATTTCACTACAATATTTTGCTTGATCCCTGTGCAAACAGGCTGGTGCTGAGAGCAGGAGCCTCCTCTGAGCCCACAGGGTGTTCATCTCCCCTGTCCTGAATGTGGTGGTGGGGTCCTTGCGTTTGCTCTCATCAGCCACTGCACTGCTGCATTTCTTCTGTTCTTCTGCAGTGTTGCTGAGGGCTTGCACCTGCAGTGGCTGCCAGCTCCTGTCTCATGATCATCACCTGGGGCTGGATGCTCACTGAGTGAGCCCCTCGCTCTGAGACTGCTGGTGGCCTGCCTGTGGGAGAGCACAGCCACTTGGGCAGTAAGGGAGACATTGCCCCTCAGGGCTCAGCCCCATCTCCCCTGAATCCTAGCATGCTGATCAGGGGACAAAACCCACTCTTGCTGAAGCAGCTGGTGCTGATGGTGCTGGGCAGAGCCAGCCTCCCTCTGCCTTTGGTCAAGGTAGACTTAAAAGCAAAACAATGGAGAAATGGAGGGGTGGCAAAAGGGTGCCCAATGCCTCACCAGACACTTCTGCTTCACAGCATTAGGCTGCTGGCAGAGGTTGAGGGGGAGCAGTGGCCTCAAGAGGAGCAGAGCCCTCTCCCAGTGGGCACAGTGCCTGCCCTCTGCACTCCTGCTCACCTCCAGCAGTATTAGCTCTGGGGTCTTGAGCTGACCCACTTTCAGTGTCCCAACTCCAGACTGTTAATCTGTAACTAATGTGGGTTTTTTCTGAAATTTTCAAACTGATGTATATTTTAAGACCAGAAATAAACTATTTTAAAAGTAGGTGGCAATGACTATAGTGTTCTCTCTGTTGGTTAAGGCCTGGACTGGACTGATCCTGAGCATGTGAGGGAGGGAGCAGAGCCTGTTGTGGTGCAATGTCCCAAGTTTGCTGAATTGCATGTGCCACCCATTAACTCTCCTGGGGAGAGCAATCCTGTGACTTGTAGGCTTTCCAGAAAGCTGTGAATTCAGTGGTCATCCTGAGTGCCCACTTTCGCAGCAGCCTGGTTCAAGGTGCTTGTGCAAATTAAGTCATCTGTGTTGGAGAAGAGGTGCAGTCCCAAGCAAGGAGTGATGTGTGGGATGAGCAGTGTTTTACTTCTGTACTTGTATCCAAGCGCTGGAAACTGCTGTCTGGGTCTGAATGTAGACTGTCAGCTCAAAGATCAGACTGAGCCTGTAGACCAGAATCCATTGTTCACAGCAGCACTCGTGTCACTTTTGACTCGGAAGCTGACAGTGGCTTAAAAAAGGGGCAGATTATTTAACCAGGTAACTTTGAGAAACATTAAAAAACGTCGGCAATTTTCACATTACTTAAAGGCTAGGCTTGTCAAAACCTCTGCAATGAAGCTTGTTGTGCTGTAAGCAGCCTCAGTGTTACTCATAAAATTCTACCTACCACATTTCAAGTTATTTTGCTTCCTGTCCTTCTGTCTGATCTGTGTCTTGGCAAAGACTTCCACATGCTGATGTAGAGTAGGATGAGGTGTAGCTCATTCTTTTAATATTTGTTGGTTTTCTTGAAGCCCCAGCTCTCAGTCATGTGACAGTATCAGTTCTCCATTTCAGAAACTGAGTTACATGGGAATGTGTAACATACCCCCTCCCTGGAGTTCATAAGAGTTTTAGAATTCTAGTGTCAGTATTTTGTGGTTTTATTTTGTGTGGGGAGGGAGGATTGGGGGTGATTGGGCGTACCCCAGATAGGAAGCCCTCCAAACATGAGAGAGGGAGTTCCTGTAGGATGCTGATAGGTACGCTAGGAAGCATTTCGTTTTCATGTTGAATAGTGCTGCAGAGGTCAGAGATGAAATTTTCTCAATCTCCCAAGTTAGCTGCCTGTGCCCTTCTGACCTAGGTGTATGCAAAGCATAACACAGGAAGAGTTTCTTGCTTATTTGTCCCCATAATTAATGATTTTATTTCTGTGGTCCCTTGAGTAGCAGCTGCTGCCACAATTTAATCTTCCAGCCTAGTAAGAGCCTTAGAACATGATGTTCCTTGCCTAGCTCCAGCAAGGGGCGCTTGGCAGAGCAGTGAAACCTGTAGGGCTGGTGCAGGCTGAAGCCTTCACCACAGGTGCACGGCTGGTACCAAGCTCCCCGCAGCTGGACTCTAGTCCAGCCCTCTGCCTCCTGGGCAGAGGGAAGGCCTGGGGGACTGCAAACTGGGCAGTGACCGACCTCCCTCCAGGGCTGGGCACACGTCGTGGAGAACCTGCCCCTGCAAGGACGGTTCCCTGCAAGGAAGCCCGCCAGGCCGGCGGGCAGCGGGGGTGCGAGGGGCTGCTGCCCCCTGCCGACGCCCCGAGCCCCCCGCACGGCTCCTGCCTGCTCCTGGCAGCCGGCTGCTGCCGGTGCCTGTGGACGCCTGCCCTATCGGGGCCGCAGTGACGGAGGCTCACGCTACCATGAGTGGTGCCACATCTGTGACCTTTATAAAACTCTCATCGCGACAGCAGTACAAGCAATAGAAAGAACATCTCTTATACACATCTGAATAAATACAGCCTGTGCCCTGCGGGCACAGCCGGGCGTGGGGGGGGAGGCAGGGCAGCATGAGCTACACATGCAGCAACTGGACAATCACAAGCGGCCGACGGGGCGCGTGACAACACAGAGACGTGTGTAGAGATTCGCTCGGACCAGCATCTGGTAGTCAGAGAACCGAGGGAGGCATCAACAGGATGTGAAATGGGTAAGAAGATGGCTGGGCCAGCCCCCGGCAGGCAGGGGGGCTGCCGCACGCACGCTCCTCCAGTGGGCATGGTGCTCTTCTCGGCAGAAGCAGGCAGGGTAGCCCAGCTACATTTCTGTTTCTGCTAAGAGGCTGTCACCGAGACCTGATGTCATCAGGACCATCTGGGAGCTGGAATCTGTGGCAAGAGAGGGAGAAAACCATGAGCCATTTGGGCTGCCCGAGGGTGCAGGGCTGTACTCCAGATCCAGAGGTGAGGATGAGGAATTAGAGCACTGCAGGATGGGAAGTGAACTGCTGAGAGGATTGTGAGATTAAGTAGTAACTAGGTCTACTCTGGCCACACAGCAGAACAGAATCAATGTTTGGTGGGGGGCGGGCAGGGAAGGCAGAGACAGCAGCAAGAGCCCAGGGTGGGGATCTGCATTTATCTTGGCTATCGAGAGGAACATCAGCTCTGAACCCTCCCCATGTACACTTGCAGGTGATACTCGTGCTGATCCAGCCGTGCCCTTACCCAGCCCTGCGTAGACCTTTAAATCTGCACTCACCAAGTGTCTTTTCAGCTAGAGAGAGCATCCAGGTGGGACGGGCTAGCAGGCTGCAAGCCAACCAAATCCACGTAGGGTGGTGGTGTTGCCTTCCCAAGAGCAGGGAATGCAGCGGGCAAGCAGCCATTTTACGGCAGCAAAGGCCTGGAAATCTGACTTTCTGCGCTGCATGAATGGAGGGTTTGTGCAGCCCTCCCCTCCCTGCCTCAGGAAGGTGAGGGCAGCTTGCTGACTCTGTGATGGCATAGAGTGCCAGCCAGGAACACTGCGACTCTCCCCACGCCAAGTGAATCAGCTGCAAGGAGAATGGGCATGCATAGCAAGTAAGAAACTCAGCAGGGTACCAGTTGCCCATCCAGAAGGCTTTTTAAACAGAATTTTTTTTTTCCCTGGATGTGAGGGAGGAGGTCTTTACTGCCCATGTACTTCAGACCCAGAGTCCTACACATTCAAAACTTTTTATGGCTCTAATAAATGAGCATCTAGATGTTTTGAGGCCCAGGCAGTGCTTGTGCTTGTCTGCTGCTAGTCCAAGATGAGAATTGGGAGGGAAGAAGGACAACTAAAGGTAAAAAAAACCCCCAAAACAACAAACCAGCAGGATCACAAGGTAGTCATGACAATATACAATTTCACATATACAAACACGACACAACAGGTTACTGCTATCTCCATAATATACCCTTTTTTCTGCTACAAGCAACAGACAGGCTGTAGCACCTGGCTAAGCCTTCACATATTTGGGATGCAGAGATAGGAACAGCTGATGCTGTTCTGGTTGCAATGAGGAATGACATGACTTTTGGCTAGGATATCTGGCAATGGCCCCCAAGATCTTTAATGCTCCTGCCCTTGAGTTTTAAGACTTTGCACAAAGATTTCGTTCCTGCAGCATCAGGGAAAACGCCTCTGAGGTACTGCTTCCACTCTGCAGCAGCCGCATTGTCCTTGGAGGCTGCTTTTCCAAGCGTGGCTCAGCCCAACACTATTTAACATGAAGGTCATGCCTGGAGGCTGTCTGAATTCCAGTTCACAGGGAGAAGGGACAGACCCCATTCAGCAGCCCCACCATGAGAGACCAGTGGTGCTGGAAACACCTCAGACACCCCAATTCCTGCCTGTCAGCCCCTCCCCGCAGCCCAGGTCTTACTGTTCTGGCAGATCCAGGGGTTCTTCTCCCTGGCTGTGACTTCACGAGCCTCTGTCTCTTCCTCTTCCTCACCCTCTGAGAGCAGGTCAGAGATCTGCTGCTGCAGCTCAGGACTAATGTTGTTCTCCGCCAGGATGAGTGTCCGTAGGGCTGTGGGGTAATTCTCTACCATGTCCAGCAAGGTCTGCATGGAGAGTGAGATAAACAGGCTAACAAGCAGCACAAACAGCAGCTAGGCTGAATGGAAAGAGCTTCAATGCTCTGTCTCCCTGCAAACTCCAGCCCTCCTCCTCTTACCTCCACCTTCCCTTGGTTTTGACCTCCCTTCACCAGGCTTTCTGAGAGCCTGAGGACTTCCCATCTTTCTGTGGGAAAAGCTGAGCCTGGATTTCGTGGCTGTATCTAAAGAAGAAGGGACTGCTCTACACCCTGTTGCTGCCACATATCCAGGCTAGTCCCCTCTCACCACTGGGAGCTGAGGCTCTGAGAGGAGAGCCTGTGCTACCAAGCCTTGGCCCCTATCTGTCCACAGAGCTTTAGCTCTGATCCTCAGTCACAAGTTCCTTACTTCTTCCAAGAAAACCAAACTACAAATAGAGCCACGTGTTTCTCCCTGCTGACTTGAGGGAGATCCAGGAGCCCTATGTCAGAGCTGTGGCTTATGAGCTCCTCCTGTGGCCAAATGTAACAGCACCCCTGGGCACAGGGAGGGATGGGGGTGCATGTGGACTCGGGGAGGGGGATGGAGGCAGGTATAGGTCCTAAGGCCTCTACAGACTGCCAAGACCTATGCCCCTGGGATGTCAGTGATGCTGTAGAGTAACTGTAGGCTCTCATACCTGGGCTGACTGGTTGGTAAGTCCTGTTCCCTCCAAGTCCAGAACTTCAAGGGTTCGACTGGAGGCCACAGCAACAGCAAGCATCCCTGCTACCTGGTCACCTGTGGGAGAAGCAAACGGGGGCTGTCAGCAGTGCCTGCCTTCCTGCATGTAATACCACATGCCTTCACAGGCCTGGAGCTGTCATGGAAACATCCTCTGAGTATTTCTGCCATCAGAGAACCTCCAAATCTCAGTTACCTTGAAGGGAAAAAAAAGCTAACTGAGAAAAGAGACAAGGTAAAGGCACAGCATTTTGTGGTTATGGGAACAATCACTGATTATCAGGGGAACACAGTGAAATTGTTTTTATTCCCCAAGGAAACTTATCTTCCCAAATCTCCTTCCTACTCAAGGATGGGAGGGCCTTTAACAGTTCCTGTAAGACACCCCAGATGCAGAACAAGGAGCTGAATACCTCAGTCCAGGGTGAGGTTGGAGCCAGAAAGAGGACTCCGCATCAGCTGATGGACTGCCTCCCTGGAAAGGGGGCATACTTTTGGGGGTGGATGCAGCAGGACCAGGAGCATTAAACACTGATGCTGGTAAAGAGACAAGACTCCAGCATGTCTCCTGACATTTCCCAGTGAGTGCCAAGATACTGTACAACTGTGACATGTTCTCTTAGAAAAAAAAACAAAACCAAGCTGCTGTCAGGTAACACCCTAGGGCCTTTCCTGCCCAAGAGGAGGCACCTGGTCAGACAGACAGGGCCTGGAGGGAGGCTCTGTTTCCAGACAGGGTGAGGAGGGGAGCGCCCTGCTGATGCTCAGGGAGGCATGGCCTGGTCTCCTCCTCACCACCTTGCAGCAGAGCTGGAGAGAGTTGGTTTCTATGGCAACGAGTGCCAGGCTCTCCTCTTCCTCCTCCCTGCTCTGCTGGGAAGATGAAGGGGGAGCACAGGGACATATTGCATGTGCCAAGCTAGCATCGGCACCCAGGAACATAGGCACTTCAGGAACAGGGGAGATGTGGAGGGTCGAATGTGCCGACAAAGGCGGTGGAGCGGGCAAGGCACAACCTCCTTCCTGCACCCCCCCACAGGGCACGTGGCCACCTCACACAAGCAGAGCAGCAAGGCTGGCTTTTCCTGCAGCTGAAGGTGCCTGGCAGTGTCAACTCGCTGCTGGCGATCAGAAGGCACCTATGCAAGAAACTGCCCCATCCTGCTGGTGATGCTCCACCACCTTTCTAGAGCTTGTTCCCCAGCCACCCACTGGCGCAAATTGCACAAATGCTGAGAGGCAGGAGTGCAACGTCCCCTGCTCCTCCTTCCTGGCCCCCCAGCTTACCTAGGGGGTTGTAGTCCAGGTTCAGCACGCGGAGCTGTGAGCTGTGAGCCACTGCAATGGCCAGGCGTCCCCAGCCTTTGCTTGTGACACCTGGGTTGGCGCTCAGCGTTAGCTCTTTGAGGCCTGGAGAAGAGAGAGAAGCCAAACCAGAGCCTTAGGGTCACTAAAGCAGTCTCAGGGGAGCTAGTTCAGCTAACCTGAACAGCTTTGAGTCGTGTCCCCTGTACTCTGACAGGCTAAAGGGTTTGGTTTGCTCTGACAACTGTCATCACATATTTCACTTCAGCAGTAGCCCTTCATTTGCCCATGCTGTGACCACCCCATTTCTCTGCTCTACCAACCTGTGTCCTGCTTACCCTAAATAGCAAATACAATGGAAACAAGTAAGGGGTGTGTGAGGCAACTGACTAGGAGAAGGAGGTGGCACAAGGTGATAGGCTGGAGAGAGGATAACGGGGACAGTAGGCTCAGAAGCGTGCACCTGGGACGGGTGGCCAGCAGAGATAACAGCATCAGTGGCACTGTGAGCACACAGAGGAGAAGGTGCTGGGGGGAGGTGGAAAGCACTTTGAGAGTCAGGAGAGAGGGGTGGTGTTACCTCATGCCAGCTCTCAGCTTAACTGGCTCACCAAAGGCTTCTGACCACCAAAGATCATCCCCTGCAAAGATCTGAGTCTTGGCACTAAGACTATGACCATGCAACTACACACTCACAGAGTGCGCCCACAAGCAGGGACAATTCCGAGGCACTGACAGTAAAGCCAAGTGCTGAGGTGGGGGCACACCACATATTTATCTACGGTCATTATCAACACACAAATGCAAAATCCAAACTGTCCCCTCCTCCAGTTTCAAATGCTCCTGTTATGAACCAGAAGCAACCTGTTGGTCCCCGAGCTCCAAACTGCCAGCAGGACAGATCAATAGCAGAAAACCCATGCCTGCTCGAGGGAACGGCTCCTCTATTGCTTGGCTTTTCTGCTTTACTTAAGTTGGGGAAAGAAATTCCTCAGCCCAGGCAAACTACAGAGCCTGTCTCCTCCAGGGCTGAGGATTTACTGCTGCATGCATCTGCTCTATGGGAAAGCTCCACCAGTCATTGTGCAACCCATGGCCCCTGGTGCTTACCGGACTTGGCGCCGTCAGGCGGCAGGAGCCCACAGATAAGGTTGATGCCTTCATCACCCAGCATGCAGTCTCCTAGATCCAGAGCCACCAGCGAGGGGTGGATGGAGAGAGCAGGGTTGAGGAGGGCCAAGCCTGCATCTGTCAGGGGACTCCCATGGAGGCTGTGCAGGTAAAAGGGAAAATTACTATGGAGCCTTCTTCCTGGGGACTAACTAACCTGATGGGCCGGGAGAAGCAGACCAAATGAGGAGGATGACAAATCCTAACCCCAAGTGGGGAAAAAGTGCTAGGAAGCCTCTGCTGCAAGGGTCAGCTGGCCGCTACGGTGGCCCTCCTCTCCCGGCCGGGATGCCAGCGGGGCAGGGGCAGCCCTCACCACCGGGCAACCAGGTTGGAGGGCCCGGCACTAAAAGCCAGGGCCGTGCCCAGCCGGCGGGGGCAGAAGTGGCTCTCTCCCAGCCGGGTGAAGGGCGACCAGGTTACCGTCCGCAACGTCAAGGGCGTTTTTCCTCCGACTAGACTTAAATTCAGGGGCTGGCCCTGAGCTGCGAGCCGCCGAAAGACCCGTCCCCGTCCAGGAGGGGGCCAGGGGCATCCCCCTCCCCGCTGTACTCACAAGAGGGACTGGACGGAGCGGTTTGTCTTCAGGGCCTCGGCCAGCTGCTTGACACGGTTGATGTTGGACACGATGCCCAGGTTGAGGTTGAGCTGGGCCAGGGAGCGGGACTCGGCCGCCCCGCGGCAGACATGCCCAAAGTCCCGCTCGGAGAGCTGGCAGCCCCGCAGCGACAGCAGCCGCACCGAGTTCTCCCGCAGGCTCTCGCAGATGTCCCGGATCTCCGCCCCCGATAGCGTCTCCCCGGAGATCTGGATGGACCCCGGCAGCATCTTCCCCCCGC